AAAAAACCCGTAATATGTAGCCAACATTTGGAAGAAGAATGTTTTCAAGATGACTTGGATAATAGCGCGTTGTGACAAACACCAGATACAGCACTGGGACTTGATCAACAGCCGATACCGCACCGTGACGTCACAAACCAGTAGGTGGCAGTAGAGTTCTTTGGCAAAGATGGATGCCTCCAGTAAAGCACATTCACATGAAAATTACTCTGAATTAAAAACACTGATCATTTATTGAACAGGATGTAATAATTTCATATTTAAAGTAGTTTCAGAAGTTTGAATTCTGAATATGAGCTGACTTTTCCTTTAATAAGACATAGACTTAGACTAACTTTATTTATACACAAAGTGTAGACAAAAACGATGCATACAGCTTTTCAACAGTGAATGAGCCGCTTCCACACTGCAAAAAAATGAAATGTAAATAAGTCCTTTTTTCTTAAAACAAGTGCATTTTTTCATGAATTTATGAGGTAAGTGGGACACTTTGCCAGTGGAATAAGACAGTTTACATTTAAAATAAGAAAAAGTAAGTATTTCAAGTGAAGATTATCACATTTTCTTATTTGAAGGGTAAAAATACTCATTACGTTGGCAGATCTTCTGATTTACCAACTCTAATTAAAGCTAAATATACTTCAGTTAAGAATTTTTTACTTCTTTCTAGATCATTTTTGCAGTGCAACAGTGAAATGCACATTTCCCTTTATAATGTCTAGCAGTGATCAAAAGAATAAACTTTCTGGGAATCATTTTTGTGAGAAAAAAAGAATGGATTGCTGTCTTTCTGTTAAGGAAACCCTATTATCAAAGGATGGCAGCTGTAGTAGTACTTGCTGGATTACAAACCAAGAGCATATCTGTGAGGGAGCTACCTGAGCAGATAGCCTGACTAATTAACCAGTAAATCTTTGCTTTGCTGTGTTGCTCTATTAGAAGGAAACAGCTAAATGATTAGTTTTTATTGTTTAGTGATCAGATACGAACCAGACCAGGTATCCAACTAATCACAGATGGACGTTCAGGATAAGGAGCTGCGGTGTGAAGATTTATGGGTTTAGTGGTTTATTGAGATGCTGGAATCAAAGGTGAGCGCTGGACAGCTGCCGCAGCCTTAGTCAATAAAATAAACCACTTGTTTTTGTCCAGCATGGGAGGCTCAGACTTCCTGTAAATGAGCCACAGACACACATGAACCAACAGGTTTCTACGGCTGTACAACCGAAGAACTCCCTGCTCACAGTTGCAGAACAGGTCCGGTTCCCCAGGAGACGACGCCTCAGCGAGCTGGGCACTGCAGTTGCAACACACCTTTGTCTCAGCGGACATGTTGCATGAGCTGCGCTGTCAGCTGGTCTGCTACAGAAGACTGGGCCTTCGTTGTGCAACTACCTTAAATTTCCAGACTTTTGACCTCAGCAGCCAGTGTGATTAAACATTACTTGGTGTTTAGCTTCACTCAGTAATGGGGGTAGTGTTACATACAACTGTTGCCCAAGTGACTCTTTATTGGTTGAGATGTGGGAAACGTCTCAGATTTCTCATAGAAATGTAGAAACAATAAGTTTTTATGTGAGCAGATGGTTTTAGTTTTCTGCCTATATCAGTAGAATTGTTACTGTACTGTAAAAGCTGAAATATAAGCATATTGAGTGTATTTTTTCATTGATTTGAGCTGGTAGAACAATTTGCAAATGGAATGAGATGTTTTTCATATAAGATAATATACCATAAATATCCTATTTAAAGTGCATAACATCTAATGATCTTATTTTAAAGGCAAACTAAGTCATTCTGTTGGCAAATCTTATTTACCTGTTTAAATGAACGGTAAATGCAACTACTTTAAGACATTTTACTAATTCCTGGATCATGTTCTGCAGTGTATCCCTGCTGTGCATGGATTGCAGTTTTCTGTTACCATCTAAAAGGTCGGAGCAAACAGAGCGAGGCCTCATTGATTCTTCATCTTCCTTCTCAGATTCTCCAGAGTCCTGGAGCCTCATGCTCTCGTCTCTTTAGCTCAGCCCAGAGCTTTTTTGTAGGGTTTAGGAACGGGGATGATCATCTGGATTTGTTCGGTTGTTTAGGATCTATATCATACTAGATGATGTCATAGTGGCTTCCTTTCTGTTTACTGGCAGCAGATTACTGGGAGTTCATGATGTCATGCTCTCTAACAAGGTTCCTACAGCCTTTGGAAGTGAAACAGGCCCACAGCATCACAGAGCCTCCACCATGTACAGCAGGAATAGGATGAGTTTTCAAAATAAATATTAACACTCATGCTTATTTTTGCATATTTCCTTATTTTGGTCACTTTAATTAAAAAGCTGCTGTCATTTTGTGTTGCTGCCATTTCTTATATCCCCCTAATGTCAAAAATATCCACAGCTGTATATTTTGGTTATTTATTCTTTTATATGACTGCACAGAATTCATATTCAAAACTTCTTTTTACCCTTACTGTACAGTATTTTTTTATTTTTCAACCTTTTTCCATTTTATTCTGTCTTTATTTGTGTCACCATTTAAATATGATGCCTGTTGTTTTGGTGCTGAAACTGCATTATTTCCTCGTTCTGGGACAATAAAGGGATTTTCTATTCTATTCTATTTCTTTTCCACGATACAGTGCCGATTAGAATCCCGTCAGACTTTTTAAAAAGTGGATTGAAAAGGATTTTGTCAAAAACAGCAACTTCTCAAGCTGGGATTTCTGCCATAAACAAATAAACCAACTAAGATTAAAGGATGTCAGAGAAACAGGATTTTTTATTTTACTGTGACACTGAGTTGCTTCAATAAAAAAGGAATTAATGTTTAGAACATTTGCAAAGCCAGATATTTAGAGTATACAGAAGATAAAAAGAAGGCCCAAGCTAACTTTAGTCCTGTTCTATGTCGATCAGCTGATCGACATAGAACAGACCTCCATACACTGTCCCGTAATAAGAGTCAACAAATATAAACATTCTCCTCATCAGTAAAAACATAGAATAGAATAGAATAGAATAGAATAGAATAGAATAGAATAGAATAGAATAGAATAGAATAGAATAGAATAGAATAGGGGAGGGATTCAGCAAAATAAGAGGAACAAAAAAAATAAACAAATATAAAATAAGAATAAGAGGCTACAAATTTTGGCAGAAACTTGTGCCATCAGAAAATGATAACTTCATTTTCTAAATAAAACTGAATTAAAAGGAAAAATAGACAAACTGAATTCCCAAAGCAAATGATTTCAGTTACAGTTTGGTAAAATTCCTTATCAGAGCATTGCATTTCATTTCAGACTACATCAGAATCAGAATCAGAACATGCATACAAACTAGAGCTGGGTATTTTGGCCAAAGTCCTGAATCGATTCGATTTTGATTCATACAGTTCTAAATCGATTCATTTCGATCTGTTTTTACATCTGTTTTTACAATAATGAAAAAGGTTCAACTGTGTTTCAAAATACTCATGTATTTAATTTGTTCCTGTCATATTAAACACAAAGTGCAAACTGTCTCATAAGTGCAAACTTGTTTGTGAAAAGTGAAAAAGTGAAGCCTCACTCGAGCAGGCAGACGTGACACAGACATGCATGAGCTGCATTATCTTCACTGCATAAACCATATTAGCAGCGTAATCTGTAACAACTACAGGGTGTTTGCTGCTCAGCCCCATTTGTTAATGTCTTCAGTCAACCTATTGGCTCTATTTGCAGCTGTCTGGCTTGAACAATCTTGGTGGTCTGTAGCACGAGATGCGAGGCACCACTAACCATCAGTGTAGAGGGAAGTCACCTTAATGTCACATATCAAGCACATCATCTTTAGCTGATTCAAACACAAAATGGTTCCAGACATCAGACTTCAGCTTGCTGAGCGCGGTGTGTTACTTGGGTCGGCATTTGCACATGTGAACGTCACTATAAAACTAATCAATCTCATTCCCTACACATCGATTTTGCAAAGATCTAAAGGAATCAATCCAAAATCAATAAAATCGATTTTTTTACCCAGCCCTAATACAGACTGAGTCAGAACAATTCATATTTAGTTTCTAATAAATATGCTTTTCATTAAAAAATGCAGTGCAGTTATGTAGGGCCGTGTAATATGGCAAAATATATCTACCATGATGTAAGCCATTTATATTATTCAACATTGATAATAATTACTGTTTTTTAACCATCTAAATAAAAAGGACAAGACGTATAAGCCAGAATTTAATTTTTTTACTAGTGTTGCGCCGATGCCATTTTTTGGACCCGATACCGATACACGATACCCGGTTGTGCAGTATCGGCCGATATCGATAGCATGTGTTTGAAATTGATGTGTGTGTTTATATATGAAGAACTGCATACTACTTGGATGTAAAATAATTGCCATCATGGCTTTGTCAAGCTGCTGCCTAGCTTTGTGAAGCAGGAAAAAGACTAATATAAAACTTTTTATTGCCTACCTGGAATGGGTGACAATAGTTGAATAAACTTTTGGCTGGATCGCCCGATACTAGTATTGGTATCGGTCCAACACTAATTTTAACACTATTTAAAAATAATTAAAAATCAGCCTTTAGAAACCAGTCAGACCTAACGACCAAGCTGCCTTAGTTTAGCTGTGAAAGTTGTAGAGAGTAAATCCTTCCTCTGCCCTTCTCCACTAGAACACCACATGGTTCTGGATCAAATGGAAAAAGTGAACATTTTATCAGATTTATTTCCTATTGATTTATTTCCAAACATTAGGTGCAGCTGTTAAAAATATCACAGATCTCTTCTCTATAGTATAAATCATCATATATCGTAAATCATTCAACAATTAACACTAAAAGACAGTAGTTCCTATTCAGAGGTATTAATGCATGTCCACAGGGGGGTTTAAAACTTAGATGTTTGACTCCATAGTGGGAGATTCAAAGGAGCAGGGTCTCCTTAAAGGGAGGAAATCTTCTCACATCATCGCCTTGGTATAATAAAAAAAAAAACTGTGACTTACAGCAATTTCTCTGCAGGCCGACATAGAGATTCCAGTGCCTTCAATTTGTTTCAGTGCATATTCCTTCTCATCTTTCCTGTGGGGAGAAAAGCAGAAAGGAGGAGTCTTGTTATTAGAGGGCAGAGTTGCACAATCCCCTCGTGTGGAAAAATCTCACATGAATGTAAGTGGCATTCACACAAACACCCAATGAGAGAATGTAGTATCCTAGTGGGGTTTTACTGAGAAATCCACTTCGTTTACAGCAATGCAACCTGAAGGAAAACAGCTCAAACTCAGTAGAAGGTGATGAAAAGGCAAATGATGCGAAATAATAAATTCATTTCACCTCAAAAAGCTAAAACTGCTGCAGTAAACATCTGAACACAATAAAACAGCAGCTAGTTTTTAAACCGGAAACATTTAAAGGGTTCTTCACTGTTTAAACCTGGGATTATTGTCTGAAACTCGACTGAAGTCGATTATGAGCGTAATGCTACGTTCAGACCGTAAGCAGCAGAAGCTTGATGCTTGTACAAGTTTAGTTCTGACGCGCGGCTGAAGCATCTTTGCTGCTCTAGCTGCACGGTGGTAAAGTGGGTCTGATGCGCGTTTGGCAGAGCTACTCTATCCTTTCTTTGCCTGGAACAATGGCAGCTATATTTGCTTTGATCAGGGGGTAAAAAGCAGTTTTAATGTTTTTCAGTGAGAAAGTCCGCCTGAAAACTTCATCTATGCAGTCAGTTCATCCAGATTACCACCCTGCCTTCCAATATTATTTCTCTGTCGGAGCCGATCAGACCCCGTACACCGGCAGCGCGCTGTCACTGGGAATCCCGTTCAACAGCAGCCTCTGTTAACGGCGGCTGGAAGTAGATGTTAGAGTTTTTTACGTCCGTAATCCAAACTGCTAGAACCAGAATAGTAAAAGCGAACATATTTTGACGGCAGGTTTCGACATTTTAAGTTAATTAAGGCGTTAATAAACTGTTTCAGAGGTTTGATCATAGCGCTCTGCTTCAGCAGTGCTGTATCCGTCTCCCTGCCAGCTCCCAGATATGCTTCTCCAGCAGCAAAAGTTCAATTTTTCCAACTCCAGCAGCTACTGCTTTTGCAGCGTGTCCCATGCGTCAGATGCTCAGAAGCACGTGAGGCACTGCTCCTGCTGTTCAGACGCACTGCAGGACATTTTGCTGTGCGTCAACCATTGACTTTGCATGTAAACCAGCTGCTTTAGGTGTGAACGTAGCCTGAGATTCAATATTAATCATCACTTTTAGCTTTGAATTGTTTCCCTGTATAGTGCTGGAATCACAGAGGGCTGTTTGGGTGCAATATTTGCTAAATTATAATTTTCTTAAAGCTAAACAAAGGTTGCCATTAGTAACCAAAGGTTAGCATTGGAAGAGCTGGCATCTTTTGCCTTTTATCTTCACCTTTAAGAAAAGCAGATCTGAAACGCTCCCTGTTCCCTGATTGGGCCTTAGAGCATTTGGTCATTAAGGTGAAAGTTGTTTTAAAAGGAGGAAGGAGACTTTCTCTCCATGCAGGACTTCAAATGCCACTGATGAGGATCACTGGCCTGCATTCGTCCTTGATGCAAAGACAGAAACTTAACCTGCACACTGGCCTCAATGCCACTCAGTTGGCAGATTTCCCTGTTGTCCCCATTTTCCCTTATGAATCAGATACAGAGCAGATTCAGCAGGTGAACAGGGACGCCTTTAACTGAGCATCATCCCTGTGTTTAGCGCCACAGGTTTCAAATCAGGCCGAAAAGGAGAGACAGCCCATTAAAACCAGAGCCAAGAGACTCCAGTAAATTGAAAACAAGCATCCAGAGTGTGGAGCGTGCACAGATCAAAACGTTTCCTGGTGAGGCTCACATCAAAACCCTCTTCAGGTTCATTTGCATCTCAGACGGACACGGTTTAAAAGAAGCTCTCAGGCGCCCTGGGCTGACACTAAGCAGCACAGACACTCCTCACATTTCATCTGTTGGTCTGGAAAGAAAACCAGCTCACCTTGTGTAAGCAGATTCTAAACATGAAATGCTTTATTCCTCACTCTGCAGGGCAAAGGCAAAGAGATCCAATACTCTAGGAACAAGGGGATTTCTAATCTGTTTCCTTTCCATAAAGAAGCGACCTAACCTGAGTGTAAGTAGATTAGTAAAACACACCTCCAGCAGAGAGACGTCTATATTATATGAAATGCTAGGATATCAGAAACCTGGGATGATTTTATTGCACTTTTAAAATCTCAATAATAAACGTAACATATGACTTAACCAGTCTGAATGAAAATGTTCAGAGAGGGTGCTGCAGAAAAAGTCTATCTAACCGACAGTCTAAGGTCAGCCAGATAGTTTTTTTCGGGGTTTTTGTTTAGATATTGTTAAAGGTAAGCTCTGTGTTTACACCTTCAAGCTTTCTCTCTCTGGATGGGTTTCCTGAAAAAAGATGACTCATAACTCATATGTATTAAATAACAATGAGACATGAAAACAGACTTTGATAGAAATTATAACAGGGTTTATACAGGAATGAGTAACTCTAATTTAATGCTTTTTAATGCTCTAAGAAATCATTTTAATGCCATCAACAAGTACCCATGACATACGAGGGGCATTCAATAACCAATACCCCTGACCCACTTCCAGACGTTTGATCAAGCTGAAATTTTGCATGTGACATTATTTAAATCTCTATAGATTACGTAGCAAATTACAGCTCTGAAATAATTTTGGTTTCTGACTTACAGGTGATTGAATAGAGTAAAGTCTGAAATGGAGCCTGTTGAGTGTCGAGCAGTGATCTGGAATCACACCACGGGAAACTTTTGATGAAATTTAAGTAACTTATGGTGATGATGCCTGTTATATGACGTTGTAAAATGTTTTACTAGGTTATATTATGCAACATTATCACTATAAGTTACTTTGATTTGATCAAAAGTCTCCCATTGTGTGCGTCCTTTCAAATGCAAAAACTCAGACGACTCAGTTTTAACACCAGTAAATCTGAAACCTCAAATAGTTCAGAGCTGTAATTTGCTATTTAATCTATAGAGATTTAAAATACTTCACATGCTAAATTTCAGCTCGATCAAACATCTGGAAGTGGTCCAGGGTCATTACTTATTGAACGCCCCTCGTATATCAGACACATTGGTAGATGAAGCGACATCCATGGCTCCAGCCTTATCAAAATATTACACTTTGTTGTTAGCTGAAGGACACCGCTCTCATTCCATTCACAAATATTTGCCACGTGACAATCACATTGTATATACGGACAGAGGAAATGACCTGATTAGATAAACTATTCGGGAAAACATCAGTTCTGATGCACAACAGGCAGCAAATTAAGGTGTAATAACCTCACACATCATCAATAATTATCCTAATGATATTGATATACTAAGCAAGAGCAAATTCTCTTCAAATATTCATTTTGTTTTGAGAAAATTCGACTCAGAATAAGTGCGACAATCTGCCAGTGCAGTAACACAAAGTACCTGAAAGACTTAATGTTTAGAGAAGATAATTATCATGATTTTACCAAGTGCAAAAGTCTTCTTGCACTGGCTGAAGGGAAGAAAAAGAGTCAAAGTTGGCTATCGAATGAAGACAAAACAACTGTGTTTATAAAGAAAACCTCCTTTGAAGCAGAAAGAAAAGCTGTAGCAGATATCAGGAAGGATGAGAGGATGTCAGTAAACTTTGACAGCTTTACCCTTTTAAGCCTTTAAGATCTCTCTTTCGTGCAAGAGGATGGCTTTGAAAATATTGACGGGCTTTTTGTAATCTCAGCATTAAAGATTTTTACTCTCAAGAGAATAACAAACACTTGTATCCTCCTGAGAGTATAGATCCCAGGAGAATGAAAATATACACATTTGTAGACATTCCTACACAGCTAGAAAGGCTAAAATAAGAAGATAGATAGCAGCTAAAACAAACTGAACTGATCAAACTGACAGTGACCAGTTTATTTTCTACAATAAGACATCATCTTTACTCCTAGTAGAGAACAGGAAAGACCTGCATAGCATTGGAGGTGTGATAAATAATAATCAATATTAATAAAGCCTTTTTAAGATTCTATATATCACATGTCTGCCATTATAGCATGAACAGCATTGGAGCCTTTATTTATGCTGGTGAAGATTCACAGTCATCCAGGTCATAATCATTACAAAAAAGTAAAAAATAAAACAATCCATTGGACTTTGTTTCCAAGTTTGAAGACGTTTCACTTCCCATCCAGGAGCCCATTCAAAGGGGCGGACCCATTAGTCTGGTTCAATTTCCAAGCCTTGTTGGGCTACTGTACAAAGCCTTGAACTCAACGCTATTTCTGACATTTCGATTTGAAAAAGCTTTCTGGACGGAAAGCAAAACATCACTTTTTATGCATTCATCTCTGAATAGATGTCAACATATGTGTGACCTGTCATTCACTAAAGAGTTTACAGGTAGGAGAGGAGAGATACGGTGAGGCATTAAAGGTGAGGCAGCTTCCCTAAAAGCCCCTCTACGGCGACTCAGAAGGCTCAGATTTGATATTGTGAGCCTCTACAGTAAATTGAAAAGGTAAGCAGTTCCACTGAGGCAAAAAAAGAAATGAGAACAAACATGTTTAAAGGATCATAGAACCAAAAATTATGTTTTTAATCAAAGTTTTATGAGTATTTTCTTCATGTTAAATCTTTATATCCGTTTTTCCACATGGGGGATAACAGATTCCAATGGAAGCATCTGCCCTGATTTTCTTTACACTGCCAAAACGACCTAGAAATAAGTTTAAAAAATCTCTTAGATTAAGTGTATTTACCCTTAATTTGAGTAGTATAATAACGTGAAAATTTAGGGGAAAATGTGAATAAGGTTGCTTGTGGACTAATATTTTAAACCATAATTTTAAACAATAGGTAGAGTAAAAACAGTAAATAAACTAAGAGTCAATTTGAAATTAACTTTAATTCAGATAAGTTGAGTGATAACAGAGGAAAAGGATGACACGACGAGATAATTTAAATAAAAACTAAACCGCTGAAACGTTCCTATTCCTTTTAGGTTGCTCCAAAGTTGTTGATAATTTTAATGATAAAACGCAAAAGATGAGACTTTTTTTTAGCAGCTTCATCATAGAGTCCCCTGTGTTCTTCTCTAGAACATACTTGGCGAGAACATGAGTCGGTACTCGCGTTCTAGTGAATTAAGAAAAGGCCTATGTGTCAAACAGTAGCCTAAAACTGAAGGTGGTAATAAAACCGGTCAAATATGAGTGCGCCACCTACTGACCAGGAGGAGTTAAAGAGGTTTTTATTTCCTTTAAATCTAGTAATAGTCAGTCAGTAAATCTAGAGAGAATAAAGTGCCTTTTCAAGTGTAACTGGTTACTACATAGAAAGGGAAAGCCTGTCAGTGTCCACTGGTAGCAGAAAAGAGCTGCTGCTGCTCTCACTGTGATCACTCCTGACCTGACATCACCTTGACACTTTCCTCACACTTTAATGAAAGGCCACCTGCAGCTGACACTGAGCTACACAAAGCAAACCTTAAATTCTCTCATCAGTCAATGGTGTCACAGAAGGACCAAAAGCTTTGGCTGAGGACACAGACTGATACTAATGCCACGGCAGTGCTCTGTCACTCAAACTGTTTAATCTGAAACACTGATGTTTTCTGTTTTTTGTATTTAAGCTATGACGTTTGCTGGGGTTATTATCAACTTTACTACCACAGTTACAAAGTGTGGGATGGAGCGCTTAATCTGAAAGGCCAGATTAATCCTCAGTGAAATAAAGAAACTGAAGTTTGTAGGAGAAAATACATCAAAAATAAGAAGTAATATATATATATTGTAGGCATTAAATTTAAACAGTTTCTGCACCAGATGTCCCATCAAGTCATCTTCAGATTTCTATGTCCCACCGTCATACTTCCACTTCATCATTTTTACCTCTTTCTCTTGGTCTACAAAGCAGAATAAGAATAAAACATGTTTATGTTGGATGTGCTGAGAGGAAACAGAGTGGAGCAATATTATGGACAAAACATCTAAGCTACTACCGGGGATTCTGGGTGATTAAATCCAATCAACACCTTTAACCCAAATAAATTACCAAGAGGGATCTCCAAAACGCTTTATGCCACTACTACAGTCATGTTCCATCCTTCCATGAAAAGCCTCATCGCAGCATCGCTTTGCAGCTTGTATGGAACTGTAGAGGATCATGTGACCCAGGGCGCTGCTATACAGCAGTCTGAACTTCCTTTAAACACCAGCTAAATAAGTTAATAGTTGTTGTTGTGCCACAAAACAGATCTGAACTTATTTTGTTGCACACGTGTTGACCAAGAGGTTAGAGCAGTGCGCTTGTGCTCTGAGGAGGTTGAAAGTACCCGGTTTGATACCTACAGCCTACACTCTGGGGTCCCTGAGCAAGACCCTTTACCCCACACTGCTCCCTGGATGCCGCACGATGGCAGCCCACTGCTCCGCACAGGGATGGGTTAAATACAGAGGAAAGTTTCTCCAATGTGAGATCAATATGTTCAATTATTATTATCAGACACATTTTTGGTTCTCTGGTTTAGGATTTAAATCAGAGTGGGCGTTTCCTCCATGATATCCCAGTCTGTAAGGCTAAAGTATCTGATGGCAAATTCCAGTGCAGTGTGAAACCTTGAGGTTACAAGCCTTTGTGCTCCCAGTGACTAAAATGTAGACAGTGTTGCTTTAATAATCAAATAGGAAACAAGAGCTTTATAGGGGATTTATCACTGATTTTTTTTTTTAGAGGCTGCTCAGTGGGGCAGTGGGTAGCACTGCTGCCTTGCAGCAATAAGTTTCCGGGTTTGATTCCTGGTCGGGGGTCTTTCTGATGGGTCTCCCCCCTGAATCTTCTGGGTTTTTGGCACACATCTCAGATACAATACATTAGTGAATAATGGAGCCAGTTATTAGCAAAATGCACTGAACAAGTTTGAAAAATATGTTCATAAAGAAGTGAAATAATCTTGCTCTGCCAGACAGCTCTCATTTACCATTAGGCAGTTTCCTAGGGCCGCAAGTTCCTGGGGGCCCCATAAAACTCTGTTTATATAACTGATTAATACAACTATTCCTTATTTGTGCACATTATGTTTTAGATCCTTTCGCTAAAATGCCATCAGAACGCTTATAATATTAAGCCCCCCCCTTCAGTGTCCACCATATTGGATCAGTCCATTTGCTGCACATGTTCAGAAAGGTCCAACCAGACAGCAGCAAACCATTTGAAAACAAACAATATGAAGAGCAGTGTTGCCAACTTAGCGCTTTAGTCACTTTATTTAGTGACTTCTCTGACCCCTCTAGCACTTTGATCTCAAAAAGCCCCTATCGCCAAATCTGGTTCCTTTTTTTTCTGCTACTGGAGACTTTGGCGCCAACATCTAAAAGCAGCGAACTCTGCTCTCCCGAGGAAGTAGATTGGTAACCCCGCCTCCTGCTCTCCTCTATCTTGTCTGCTGTCATGATTCATGCAGCTATTATTTCATCCAAATGAAAAATGGAGAACAGAGAAGCAGATCATGGCTTGTCTACAGTGAAAAGAAGGACTGGGTTATTTACTTTGGCCTTTTTGGGAACATAGGAAGGAGCAATCAGCTAAGTGAGCTTAGTGCTTGGAAAAAATCTTTCATTCCTTTAGAGACAGCATGAAAAGTCAGCTGAGTACAAAATATAGAGAGGAAAACAACAAGAAAAAATCTATTCTATTAAAATGTCTGTATCTGTGTAATTGGTCTGTTTTGTGTGTTGTCTTCTCAATTCAGGGGGCCCCCTGCCTATCTTTGCCTAGGGCCCAAAATTCCCTAAATCCGCTCCTGTCAGCACCCCTCTGGTCCTAGAATCAGCCCAGCATGTCCCCATAAGCGCTGATGTTCTTCTTCAGAGTGATGGCGAATAAAATAAGTGCTTAATAATCTACTGTGTGTGTAAACAAAGTTTGCTATGGCTAACTGAAACCTGTCCCTCGCGGTGCCAGGTAGCACACCGAGCTACCACCGCTAACACTAACAAACATTATCAATGCTTTCAGGCGGGGGGAGTAGTGGCGAAGGGAGGAAGTAAGCGCGCGCGCGCGTGTGGTTGTGTGTAGGGGGAGACCGTTGGTGAGTGAGTGAGCGCGTGCGTTACATGAAAACAAAAACACACACACACACACAGGGTTATCGCTTCGGGGAGGTTCAAATCTAACGCTGCGTTCAACACACAGCAGGACTCCCGAAACGCATCCTGCAATGAGGCGAATGTCAGAGCGAACAATACCGACCACGGTTATCTTACCCGTCTTTGCGCTTAGCTTTATAAACGTGCCCGTACGTGCCTCGACCCACTTTGCAACCTTCATATTCGAACAGATCTTCCACTCTCTCCCTCTCGGCTGCCAGCTTTGTTTTGAAGTCGTAATCCATTTTAACCCATAAATACGTCTTAAATTACAATAAAATAAAATATTAATTATTACATGCATTAATTAAATAATCTGGTCGTTTTATTCCCCCACCATTTCCTTGTTTGGGATTTTGGTGTGCTCCGCTTAATGTTCACTGGCTCGTTGACGTTTCTAATTGGGGCGCGCGGCATTCTGGGTAACGTAGTCTTGCCAGGCAGCCACCGCCGCTGGCTCACGGTGAAACAGAAGATGTTAAAAACTACAAACCGCGTTTCTCGTTGCGGTTTATTACACTTTGCGTACCCTCGAACGCTGTTTTAAAAATCTAGCTGGGACATAGGAGTTTTTGGTTTATTAGTTATTAAAATAATAATATAAATAATATGAATAATACTAAAAATGATTATTATTATTTTTAATAAATATTATTATAATTTATGCCATTATAATTTAATTATGATTATTATTGTATTAATATAATTACATATACTCATTATTATTATTGTTATTATTATTAGTAGTAGTACTAGTATATAATATAATTATATTCATACAATAATAATTATTATTATTATTATTACTAGTAACTATTATTATTACTACTAATAACACTAGTATAATATTAACAACAACAATAATAATAATAACAATTATAATAATAATTATTGTTATTATATTTTTATTTGTTATTATTATTTTTTATAGTATATTAGTAGTATTATGATAGATAGATAGATAGATAGATAGATAGATAGATAGATAGATAGATAGATAGATAGATAGATAGATAGATAGATTTCTAAAAAAATTTTTAACTTTATGTGTAGATTAAAACAGTAAACTACACAACACCACACGCATCGAAAAAAAACGTTTAACATATGAAATAAAAGGGAGAGAAAGAAAGAAAATGATAATATCTGCTCATCGATGTTATGTCATGTGAATAATAATAAAAGCGTGTCGTCGTAAGTTTTAGCAACAGTAGAAAGCCACGTGAGGAAAACCCTCTTTCCGCCATGACTGATACATCCTTGGACCAATCATAAAACCCAGCGAGTAGTTCTGCTGTCAGATTGGCTTGACGCTGTCGGTGACGTAATGTAGATTGGGTATAAAACCAACCCACGCATTTCATTCAGCGCTTTACACAGTATGGCCGGCGATATTAGCTAGCACTCGCTAACGGTATTCTCTGCAAAAGGGAAGGCGGTAACTCAAGATAATTAACATCTGGATTGCTTTAAGGACTGAACCTCAATAAATTATAGCGAATCGAGGAAAGATTATTAATAATAAAAAAAAAAGCTTAAAACGTTGTAAGTGACGTTTTGATAATTCTGTTGGGTGTCTGTTGTCTCATGATGGAGGATAACGGTGCACAGTTCTTCGAGGGGACCGAGAAGCTGCTGGAGGTGTGGTTCTCTCGTCAGGACGAAACCAAAGGAACCGGGGACCTCCGCTCCATCCCGAGGTTTGGCTCCTTTTTACCGTGTCGGTTCAGATGTGATGAATGTGTGGAGGCGCTGGCCTCACTTCGGGTCTGCGGTGGATGTATTTAAATGCGTCATGGGGGAAGAAAGTGGAGAGCAGGGAATTCTCCGGCCTTTCAGCCCCTACCAGCGGCTAGCTAACACCTCCCCCTTTAACTCCCCCACTACGAACCGAAGCTCATTCATTATAAATACTCTGAATTTGACCACTTCTCCACATTCTATTACTCGGTTATTTTTATGTTTGCTAACAGAGTTTCTGCGGTTTTTTAAAAGCTCGGTGATGCGGCAGGTGGACGGAGGGTACTAGCCGACCATCGCTCCTACTTCCTGTAAGGCTCTGCTAACCTGAACCGCTGTCCCGCTGACATTATTCCCCTTCACCCCCGAATCACTGCGCTGCTTTAAATGACTGATCCATCCGCTGGCATGTCTGCTCATCTTTACGTAGAAATCAGGCGGGATTGGTGCATTTTATTAACCCTCTATTGGAGCTAAGGCTGAAATTGACTTCAGATTCGGAGCTTCTTCAAACCGAGCCTCAAAGAAAGGGTCAAAACTGGGCATTTAAATCATAAATAATCGGGGAACTCGTTTAAGCTAGATTGTTTAACGGTAGAATTATTTTTTTATTGGCTTCTGTGCTTTAAAGAAGTCAGAAACTGCCTCAACGCTCACCTGTCTGCTCTAATGTAGTTTGTGTTTATTTATTCCCATTTTTATTTTTTAAGCCCTTTATACATGGGTTTTAAATGGTTACATTCAAGACACAGTTTACCTCAGAACAGGTCAGATTTAATCTGAAAATTTGTAAACATTTTGAGCTGGAAGAGATCAGGTTAATTTAAAAAAAAATGGTCAAACAGCCCTTTACTAGGGTGACAAATCAGATGCCAACTTCAGCGGCGCAGAGCTCCTCGTGTAGCTACGTCACCCCCCCTTCAAAGAACCGTCTCGTTGCTGTTTGTTCGGATTAAATATTAATATTCCCAAAAATAAGGAAAAGATGTATAAAAACTAGTGTTTTAGCTTATCCTGTTGTATAAATGACTTTAACCAGTCTGGTTTATGGTTGAGGTTATTTCTGCTGCGTCATTCAATGTGTGTGTGTGGGGGGGTGTTAGCATGTGCTCTTCCTTCATTAGACTCTGGGTAATGATCACTATTACTCTAATCATTATAGAACAGTTTAATAAACCGTTCTGGGTTCATTTAATGTGTTGCCCTTTTTTATTCTGTTTTTCTTTACGTTTCCTTAATCCTATAATCTCGATTTTTATTTTCGGGCTCCTAAAAAAAAACTGCACTTTTCTTTAGTTTTACTGTTCTGTTAAAGTCCAGAAATGGAAGCATTTCAGCCAAATCCTCCCAAAAGCTGAAGATTTTACTTCAGAAGTTGGTCAGAATTCCCTGCAGCCTCTGCTTGGCTCACGTTTCCAGCCATGAGGAGGCTCCCCTCCCCTCTCCTCGGATTGGTTCAGGGCATCTAAGAGCTGATTTGCCCAGTGGCCTTAAAAGAGGAGGGCATGGGAGGTTCAGAGAGATGCACGTGGTAGACCTGATGGGCTGCTGGTTCAGTTCAACAAAATATGATTGTTCCCTGAGCTGTGAAAGGCTCTGTAAACAAATGATTCTAAAGAGTTAAATATGTACAGCCTTTAAGCAATCGAACAGCATGAGCTCAAATGCATTTTTTTAATGGATATAACTTACAAAATGAGTTGGATTAATTCAATCTCTGCTGAGTGAGATGAGTTTTAAGGCTCTGTTTGTGGCCGTTAACCATGTCGTTCCCCTCTGAGGGGAAAGCATGAACAGTGGTGCGTTAATGAACAGAGGGACAGATTAGCAGCTCAGTCAGTGGATGAAGCCTGCTGGACATCAGCCAGTGTCCAAATAAGTCTGCAAGGGCGTCTGATTCATCGGCAGGGACCTTGCTCAGATTACATCCAGGTCTCGTGGTCTGCTGAGAGTGACTGTGGGGCAACCGGGTGTCGAACTGAAGCGCTGGTGATGGGTGTCCTGCTCAGAGTCAGCAGAGGACTGAAGTCCACCGCTGCACGTGTTTAGTGGATCTGCATGGATCTTGGCGCAGGAGGTCAGACTGATAAAATGGAGCCACACTGGTCACCCCTGTGCTCAGCGTCTGAACTAACAGTAGCTTAGACGTTTATTCTTGCTCTTTTCTTCAAGGAAATTTGATCCTGCTGAGCTTTCATGAAATGGCCTCCGGAGTGGGTTTCACTCTGAAACAGGAGCTGCTGGGTGGCTAACATTGTTAGGGGGGGGTGAAACTGGAAAGCAGGCATGTTGCAACAGCCCTCCTACATCTCTGCCTCCTCTGGAAAGCAGCAGGCTTTACAGTAGCATAAACGGAGCCTGATGCTCTGCAGCAATTCCACACTCCCCAGTTAGCCTCATTTCTTTCTTAGAAGTGATCAAACTGGCAGCTTTCAGATTTCCTCTCGGCCTCTGTGGCAACATGCTGCTAAGAAAAGGTTGTTTTCCTCCCAGAATGGCTAAAATTAGATGATCTATTTCAACTTCTCCCAAACATCCGATCTAGAGAGGGCTGAGAATTAGTTTTTTGTTGTGTTTTTGAGAAAGCACCACACACTCAGCTACAGGCGACACCGCATGGTGTAGAATTTATCTGTCACTGCAGAGAGATTGAAAGTCTGAATGGAAGGTGTTTAAAATGAGCTCCTGTCACACATTGGAATTAAAGTTATTGAAATATTTGAGCCGGAACGAAATGATCAGATCAGTCGTAATTAATTGGTAATTAATCAACTAATCTGGTAATTGAATGAGATCCTTACCTAGAGTGATGGTACGCAGACTCTAAGACCTAATAACTTATCGCCCGTTCCACAGATAAAGCTGGCCGACATAAAAGGCTCTGCTTTATTACAATATGCACCAAACAGATTGATTAATCTGCCTAGGGGGAGATGTGGTTGAAAAATGTTGGTGGATTGATTTAAAAATCACTGGAAAGGACAAATGCTATTTGTGCAAAATTATTGGTATTTGTGGGCCACACCGTGACCGGAAAAAATAAACCCTCGAGGTGTAAAAGTGTGTATTTTTCCTTAAATGCTGAAAAGCAAACTATTTTCTCCTTTAGAGGAAATTCCCTGTCTGCTGACAGAAGGCCTTATTTAATGTGGGCAGAATCTACCCGGGGGTCGGCATGAGCCGCTGGCTCTGAGCTCTGCTGGAGGCCGAGCCAGCGGCCCGGGCTCTTCTTCCCAGGCTGCACTGGAAAACGTGACGCAGCTTCTTTTTGCTCTGCAGCACACTTTGTTTTTGTTGGAGCACCACGGTGGCAGCAGCCCTACTGTGGAGCGACTCAAACTGCTGCTTAATGAAACCGTTTTATCCGCCATGTTTCTGTATATCTAAACAGCTCGACCTGCTTACTTTGGTATAGATTCTAAAGTGAAGGACTGAGCTGAAAACTCTTGAAATGCGCATCATAATCCTAAATATTTTTTTCTGTTTTCTGTCTTTTAGGTTTGAGTGGGACAAACTTTTGGAAAATGTGCATTGTTTGATCATAAGTGTGACAAAGACTGACAAGCAGGAAGCTTATATACTCAGGTAAAGAACGCCTGCAGCTGTGACCTCACAGGTGTCCTGCATGTTTGGAGGATCCCCTGCTTCAACAGACCAGAGTGAAAGGACGGCTCATGATGAGCTCCGGATCCTCTGAAACATGCAGGACTCCCGTTCTGGTGGAATACCGCCACTTTAGCCACAGGGGGAACGACCTCTGAATCGGAGGGTTAACGGCAGGTTCTGGTTTTCTCTCCTATGTCCCGCAGTGAGAGTAGCATGTTTGTCTCCAAGAGACGTTTCATTTTGAAGACATGTGGAACCACCCTCTTACTGCAAGCACTGGTGCCTCTGCTGGAGCTGGCCAGGGAGTACAGTGGCTTCGACACCATCGAGGTTAGTCCTGCATCACGCTTCTGTCAGTTTGCAACAACGGGCATAGCGGTTTAAATTAACATTGAAATTGAAGAACTCTAATAAACAGATTTTTATCAGGAAAAATAAAAACATGTTACATCTTTTCTAACCGATTTTTACCAAGCTAATAATTTTCAGCATGGCAGCAGTTATTGCTGTAAATGACAAAGAACTCTGTTATAAGAATTTGATTAAAACTTTATTTTATTCCCAGGATGTTGTTTTCATAAAGATTCAGGGTTTCCACGGGTCATTAAAAATCATTAGAAATCATCAGATCATTTAAATTAAGGCCTTAATTGGCATTAAAAATTAAATGTGCTTATTGTGGTCTTTAAAATGCTTTAATAAAAAAAAAAGTTTATAAAAACAATTTCATCAGATATATCAGATATAACTAGTTCTGCGTGATAGGAAATCTGGAGGTGGAGAAAAATCTAGAGAATGGGAATATGGTAATTTCACCAAAAAGTGGCTTGAAAACGAGGAATTCAGGACATGGCTGCAGCCTGTCGACGGTAAAGGATTTTGCCTTGATTTATATTTAGATATAGATATAGAGAGATATATCTATGAATATATAAGATTCATGGGTACTTGTTGATGGCATGAAAATAATTTCTAAGAACATTAAAACAAGTGTTGCACCGATACCAGTATCGGACGGGCTCCCAATCCAGCACTAAAATGTGGTATCGGCGAGTACCAACAAATAGGGCACAATACCATTTTGAGAGCCAAAGGTTTATTCAACTATTGTCACCCATTCCGGGTAGGCAATAAAAAGTTCTACTGGATTCACTTTGTTTGTCTTTTTCCTGCTTCACAAAGGTAGGCAGCAGCTTGACAAAGCCATGATGGTAATTATTTTACATCCAAGTAGTATGCAGTTCTTCATATATAAACGCACACATCAATTTCAAACAGATGGTATCTATATCGGCCGATAGTGCACAGCCAGGTATCGGGTCCAAAAAATGCCATTGGCACAATGCTAATTAAAAAACATTATATTAGAGTTACTCATTCCTGTATAAACCCTGAGCTTATTAAAAATGAGTGAAAAATAATTGGGGGTTTTCTTAGAATATAGATTTATTTATTTATTTATTTTTTACATTTCTATAGAACTGCTTTAGCACAACAGCTTAATGTAGCAAATATGCTACAAACTGAAATATGTCAGAGTTCCCCCAAAATTTAAGAAAGATTTGTTAATTTTTTTTTTTTCAACTTTCCTTTAAAACAAGAACAAAACATTTCTGTTGGGGAAGGGTCCTACTAGAAACGTGTTTTTGCCAAAGGTTCCTAGAGCTGGACGCAATAAACTGCCTCTTGGCTGTACAAGTTACAGGAGTAGTTTGATGCATATTTGCTACACTAGGCATGAAGGCGATGAGGCACTGGAGTAACTCTTAAGTTGTTTGTTGCAGAATTTCTTCTATTCCCGTAAGAACTTCATGAAGCCGGCCCACCAGGAGTTCCCTCATCGCAACTTTCAGGAGGAAGTGGATTTTCTCAGCCAAATTTTCCCAAGTAGGTAGCAGATTTGATCCAAAGTCTTCAAACATTCATGTGGTTTAATCTCTGACATTAAAGGAGGTGAAACGCCTGTTTTTTCTTCTTCTTTCCAGATGGCGCAGCCTATTGCATGGGACGTTTGAACTCTGACTGCTGGTAAGTATCTGAGCGCCCGCACGCTGCCGCTAGCTTTAACCCCAGTGGTTCTGATTTCAATGGACTGGCATGGAGCCTGTTCCTACTCATAAACCGCAGCAGGAACAGTCAGTAGTTGTAGAGTTTGCTGCATTTCATGAGCAGCCACACAGTGGCGGTGTTCTGTCAGCTCAGCACACCACATCCGGACAGCATACCCTTAAGGGCTGGTTATCCTCCCCCAGCAGTGTGTACCAGCTAGCTAGTTGCAGGTATGACCCAGATATTTTTGATCTATGCCCAATATTGAAGAGGGACAATCAGGAACTAGTTAGGATTGTGGGTTTCCACGTGTCGGTTTGGCGTCTACAACCCCTCATCTGATGCTGGACGACACACAGTTCACCCGTCAGTGATTCCTAAAGACTGGCCATGGCGCTTCTGGTGCAAACAAACAGACCGTCACGCAGAGCTAAAAACTAATATCCTGTACGGTGTCTGGGATAGTGTCCGAGGTGTGCCAGGCGTTGTGGACGGCACTACAGCCAGAGTTTCTGCCATTAGGTACCAGACAGGTAATATGCATAGAGTAGATCGGATGTAGATTTGACCAATCAGAGGCCTCCTGTATGTGAAAGGGGTGGCATATCTGCGTTAGCTGTGAGACACACGCAGACGTCCTGGTTTGTATAAAAGTATAAACCAGGCTTTAGTCATACACATTGCGTAGTTTCCAGTCTCTGCTCTCCTTACACCCAATCACGCTGCTTTATCTCCTGTTTTAGTCAGGTTTTCGTCAGTTTTGTGCATAAATCAACAAAAAAGTCCTTCACTAGGTCTAACACACACATTGGCTTTAGAAAAAAAACATTGCATGTCCGTTTGACGAGGATTTTATTAAAGAATAATGAGCTCTTTTTCACAGAACATTTATTGAAAGGGGATGCTACAACTCATTTGACAGGATATATTTAGTTTTTTTAGTTTAATATGAGCGACATGTGGATAACTTTATTTTTACAGCACATAAAGAACTACTGAACCTATTTCAGATAACTTAAATCTGTGGTGGAAAATGAATTACTTTAGGGGTAGGATTCGGATTCATTGTGATAACAACCTAATGAGCCTACTGGCACAATCTGAAGCCATTCTATGGGACTGATAGCTGCTAATAATCATTCATTCAGTTTATTTCTATAGCACCAATTCTCAACACGCGTCAGCTCAAGGCACTTTACAGTTCACCAGATCACTGGTCAGATTGATTCAAAGTTTTCCATCTTAGGAAACCTGTTGATTTCATCGACTCAAAGGCAATTCCTCACACTAAGCATGCTTGTAGTGACAGTGGAGAGGAAAAAACTCCCTTTTAACAGGAAGAAACCTTCAGCAGTGCATGCATGCGTATTACTAAGGGTATGCTGGCCTTACGCGGTATGCTGAGCTGACAGAACAGCGGCTCTGGTCCGTCCCTTCCACAGCAGGACGGACCCCCCCTGACCGTCCCTCCTCCCCTCCCCCACAGGTACCTGTTTACCCTGGATCTGCCAGAGTACTGGGAGAACAAGCAGGCGGATCAGACGCTGGAAGTTTTGATGAGCGACCTCGACCCAGCTGTTATGGACCATTTCTTCATGAGAGACGGTGTTTCCGCAAGTGAGGTCACTCGTGTAAGTAGAGCGAAGGGTAGAGTGTTTTTGTTTGTCCGGTCTTTTTTTGGTGAAGAGTCCTCACCGTCCACTTTCCTTTTTTCCCCCTCAGAGGAGTGGAATTCGTGACCTGGTACCAGGTTCGATCATCGACGCCACAATGTTTAACCCTTGCGGATACTCGATGAATGGAATGAAGACTGACGTGAGTAGCGGCGCGCCCCGTCACCTTTCTGTGCGCCGACCCGTCCACAGCGGGCTCACAGCCGACTGTTTTTCTTTCGGCCCCTTGCAGGGAACGTACTGGACCATCCACATCACTCCAGAGCCGGAGTTCTCCTATGTCAGCTTTGAGACCAACCTCTCCCAGACGTGCTACGATGATCTGATCAGGAAGGTGGTCGACGTGTTCAAGCCTGGAAAATTTGTGACTACGCTTTTTGTCAATCAGGTGTGTGGAACGACCCGTTTGTAAAACAAAATGAAACAGAAGTCGGTCCATTTTCCCTCCTTATAAGCTGGCTAATAAACCAAGACTATAAGTATCATTCTGAAGGGTGAAAATCCTCATTCCTCTGGTAAACCATCACCTTTATCTGCTCAGAAATGGTTTAATAAATCAGTTTTTGCAGTGAAAGCTGCAGAGGTGATTTAAAGGAGCACAGCAATCCAGACTGGTCAGATTTACATAGATAAACTGCTAAATCTCATTTAAACATCTGTACAATATTCTTAAAATAACTGTATTGCCCTTAATTTGAACAGATCAATATGCCAATCTGTTTCTGGAATATTTCTGTTCTTTAAATTATGTACTAATGGTATTTATATTTTAAATGTAAATCATCTAATTCCTAATTAATACACTGACATCTCAAATCAAGGGAAAATCAATTGAGTAAAAAAAAAAAACTTGGTCATTTTTAGATGTCTTCATCAGTTATTTTTTTGTTCTGGAAAAACCTCAATGATGAAGGGTATAAAAATGCCCAATGTTTTGCAAATAACCTCTGATTAAACGGATTTAAAATTTGTCTTTTCCATTTGTCAGAATAATCAACTTTAAAGCACAAACCAGGAAAAGATTGTCAGAAAACGTTTCAAATAAAAAGGGTTAAAGTTTAAATTTCGCAAATGTCTTGCAGCCAAACTGTTTTCAGCAGGGAGGCTTTATTTATTTATTTTTTTGGGAAATGCCGGCTAAAGCAGAAACTATGATCTGGTCTGAGAGGCCGTTTAGGAAGGAAGAAGCCACAGAGATTCATTATTATGAGTCTGATTAGTGTTTGTGTGGGATCAGAAACGACCAGCTCCTTCAGTTTGAAACTGAAAACCCATCAGAAGCCTCAGAGCACAGTCCTAACTGAAGCATGGGAGCGGCAGCATTATGCTGTGTGCTGCAGGAAGGACTGCTGCACAACATAAAGTCGACGGCATGTTTGGAAAAGAAGCTTATTGAAATGAGAAAATGGGTAGAAATCAGCCAGGAGTTAAAGGTTTGAAACCATGGGTGGTTCTAGACAGGGGCCAACGGGGGCCAGTGCCCCTGTAGATCATGTCCTGGCTCCTGTACTGAAGATATAATACTAAAAGAAATTGTAATGCGCTGGAACAGACATAGTTACTGATGGGTCCTTTCGAACTATTTCATTTATTTTCTTTACAAATTCTGTTTAATTATTTAAAAATAATAAGGTGATAGCTTCCGTGGGAGTGATATAGGATCCCAGTTTTCATCAGCTAATTTTTACATCTGAATTTATCAGTGTTTCTTGGTTTCTGATACAGATTTTATAGAAAACAGTAACTTAAACTTAAGTCAAAAATATGTAAAATTCCTGAATTATGAATGTATTTTGAACTAATAGGAACATTTTAATTAAACCTAATTGAATAGTAATTTCACATCATGCAGCTCTCCTAATGTATTTGAAACCCTTACCCTGTTCCTTATTTCATGCTTTTCTGTCCCCCCCATGAAATCACCCTGGCCCCCTGGTACATCTGGTCTAGCACCGCCACTGTTTGAAACACTAAAACGACATCGAGCGTTACGCAGGCGCTGCTTTCATAACGACACCTTCGTGATCTCCGATCTGAAAAACTGAAATACAAGCTGATGGAATAAGATGATTTATGTTTAAAATAAAGGATTATCTTTTTTTCAAGTTCATAGTATCAATTTTATTTTCGGGCAAAAATACTCATTTATTGGCAGATCAATCAGTCTTAAGGTAAATAAGCTAATTTTCTGATCAGTTTGAACAGTTTATTAGAGGAATGGATGCAGCGTAGGAAAGAGACGCCTCCTAATGCAGCGTTCGGAATGATTACATCATCCACCTCTATCTTTGTTTTGTTTTGTTTTCCAGAGCTCCAAGTGTCGCAGTGTCTTCTCTTCCCCCCAGAAAGTCGAGGGCTACAAGCGCCTCGACCGCCAGCTGGCCCAATTCAACGATTACAATTTTGTCTTTACAAGCTACGCCAAGAACCGCCAGCAGAGCTGAGGGTTCAGGATGAAGAAGAGGCGCAAAAAGAAAGGCGGCCCCTCCGAGCGCCGCCCTGCCGCCGCCTCCTCCCCTCTCGCCGCCTGCCTGGCGTCTGCCCCCCTCGCCCTGAGTTTACCCCCCAGATTGAGTTGTTTGCGTCGTCGTAACTGTGACTTAAGTCTCTTGCATGAAAGCTCTTCTCTTTGTCGCGATATTCTAGCTCACTCTTGCTGTGATCCTGAGGTGCATGTGGAGGAATTAAACGCGCTCCGCCGGAGGCCGCCCACCCGGGCGCTGTCCACCGGTCCCTTCCTGCAGGTCTCCCCCCTCATCCCCCACAGACAAGGCTTCCGCCCGCACTAGAGCAGGGCCCTGACGTGCTCAGATCGGTCAGCTTCTCTTGACCCGAACGCTCTTCCTGGTTTGCGATGAGGATCCCTCATCCGTCCTAGATCAGCGTTTCCAGATGGTGACGGGCTGTGGAGAAAAGCCTGGATGGCTCTGAGCTGACGGGCCAATGCCCGCTGCTGACGGCTGGTTTTTCCGCTCCTTGCAGAAGTGCCAGCCGTCCCCGTCTGTCTGCTCTGAATGGAACCAGACAGGTTTTGCTTAGCTGTCCAGCAGAGCGTTTTGTTCTTCTCTCTTTTCTCTCATACAGTCCATCCTTTGTCTCTTTCTGGCCCACACAGAAATCTAAAGGCACAATAGAGGCCCATCGGTCTGAGCACGCCAGGGTGAACCCGGATCATTCCACATGTTACTAAACTGCCGTTTTATTACCCCCTCCTCCTCCACCAATTGAAAACAGGACTTCCTAGCAGTTTTTTTAGATCGTTTTTTTGTGTCCATTATGAGGGGGACACCGTGTGACACCGTGGTGCATGTGACTTCTAGTGCCGTGTTGCTTGACAGCGTAGCGCCACCTCTTCCTCGTTGGTCTGTGCGCTTCACCTTCCTCTGCTGCACCCAACAGGGGAGGAACATCCATTTGAAGTTTTAGTCTAGATGTTTTTCAAGGGTTTAGTTAAGCTGTAATTAATCTCAAAGCCTCTTTTTTTTCTTTTTCTCATTTGGGATTAAGTACATCTTAACGCTACTATTTGGGGATCATTGCCACTTTTTTTTTTTTTATACAGTGAGGTCAATGCATTGTTGCAGTTAAATAATTTGTGAATTTTATACAAAGCATTTTGTATTTTCTGCTGCGGACCAATTTATTTCCTATTTCGTGTCCAAATGTTAAAGCGGTTTCCCCCCATACCTTCTGTTCTGAAGTAGAGGGGTGACTTTATTTTTTATTTTCTGCCCTGCTTAAGAAGGTGGGAGGAAGAGGGTGATGTTATCCAGATCTGTTGGGATGTACTGAAGGAGCCATTTTGCTGTTCTAATTTCTTTTGCTGTTCTTTGGATGGTCAAGATGTGCTAAATATATCTGTGCTTTGAGCTTGATGCATTAATAAAAGATATTTACCTGTTAACTCACTGCGTTTGTTTTCATTTATGTGAAACGTAAATATATATACACTTTTATAATCAATTCAGTTGATTTCTTTAGCGCCAATTCACAACACATGTCATCTCAAGGCACTTCACAGTTCACCTGATCATCCAGTCAAATTGATTAAAAGTTTTCTATCTAAGGAAAACCAGTTGATTGCATCGACTCATTGACTTGAAGGAAATCCCTCACACTAAGCATGCTTGTAGCGACAGTGGAGAGGAAAAACTCCCTTTTAACAGGAAGAAACCTCCAGCAGAACCAGGCTCAGTGTGAGCGGCCATTTGCTGAGGCCGACTGGGGTTCAAGGAGACAGAAGCAATAGATAAAAAAGGCAGCTGTAAAAGGCTTCCGCAGCCAGGGAGACGAGCTCCAAGCCAGCTCCCATGTCGAGGGACGAAGAGGGCACATCCAGCCAGTCAGAAAAACAGGCAGATCTTGAAAATGTATTTAAAAAGGTGGAAATAACAGCTGCATAGCTGATCGGCGCAATGGTGTCTTCATAGGTTTGCCTAAAAAGTCCACCAGACAGCTGCAGCTGATCCAAAACGCTGCTGCCAGTGTTTTCACTAGAACAAAGAAAGTAGAGCATGTCTGCCTGGTTCTGAAGTCTTTCCTGTAGCTCAGAGAATAGACTTTATAATCCTTCTGTTAGTCTAGAAATCCCTGAATAGATCAGCACCTCAATACCTGACAGATCTGTTGTCAGTGGATCAACCTCCCAGACACTCAGGTCTTCTAGTTCAAACCTAAGCTGTCCACCTGGAACTAGAACCGAACATGGAGAAGCAGCATTTAGTTCCTCTGCTCCACTGATCTGGAATAAACCCCCAGAAGACTGCAAAACAGCTGAAAGCCTGAGTTCTTTGAAATCAAATTTAACCAGAGCTGCCTTTGACTGTTAAAGTTAAACTGCTCACTGATTGTTTAAGGTTGTGATCCAACTGGTTTGTTTTACTACTTCTATCATATTTTTATCTTTACTTCCTGTTTTTATTTTCCTAATATTTACAGTTTAATTCACATAAAACACTTTGAATTGTCTTTGAACTTTAAGATTAAGTTAATACAGCCTATGATGCAATAAACCTTTATTAGTTTATTACGTAGAACATTTCCAGAAAGTGATGGATGTCAGATGAAAGCAGCAGCGTAGAGATGCCGTTCTACTGGCTGGGGGCCAAGCTGGATCATACATCACATGGTTCTGCAGAAATCAAGCTGGGACATGTAGGCTGTGTTTAGTTAGAGAAGGGTTGCCAAAGTCCAACCATTAAAGGACAAATAAAGTATGTACCGTCTTATCAGTTCCTCTGATTACTTCTGTGGTTGGGATCACTGTCTCTAAATCTCTGGAATAATGAGAGGAACTGATTAACTGTGATTGGTTATCAGGTCAGATGGAGATCATCAATCTGATCAGTTGTGTGTGCATTGTTCCCAAAGCTGTCATCCTCTATGCTTCATCCAGAGACGTTATTTCAAACACGTCATACATGTTGCTGTCTTCATCCTATCCCTTCAGGGTTTCAGCATGCTGAGTCCTGTGTCTAAATTATAGCTCTTTTTGTTTTATGGGTCTTGAACGTCCTGAATTTACTGGAACCCTTCCCAAAGACTTGGTATCTGCCTGAAAGGTTTTTCACATTAGCATAACATTCCTCTCTGAACTCTGCTGGTCTGTCTCATAAATATATATCTGTTGATTTATACGGTGATCAAAGGTGAAAAATTGCAGAATATATGTATACACACACACACACACACACACACACACACACACATATATATATATATATATATTTTTTTTTTTTTTGCAAGTTTCATGCTTGCGAGTAAACTAAAGAAATTATATACTTTATTTTAATTTTTTATTTATTTAAATAAAAAAATATATAAATATTAAAATAATATTTAGATGAATAAAAAATAATAATAAAAGAAATTGTATACTTTAAATAAATATATTGAATTGTTTAATTTTTTGCAACCTATTTCTGTAAAATAGGTTATGTGTTTGTGTTTTGTTTTTTTTGCGAGTTCCATGCTTGCAAATAAACTAAAGAAATTATATATCTACAAACGAATGTGTTGATTTTGCAAGTTTCATTACTAGTTAACTAAAGAAATTATAAACTAAATTAATGTGTTGAATTTTTGGCAACTTCTTTCTAGTCGGAATAAAATCTTCCCGTCGTGGTAATGAGAAAGATTATATCGCCCCCTGCTGGTCAGAATGTGAGTTCATCCTTTGTTGTATTTCTCCTGCAGTGCTTTTTTGTGACAGTAGGTGGCAGTAGCGGGCAGGTAGTTAATAGACATCAACGGATCAGCCAGCAGTAATGAAGAAGAACTTCTTGTTGTCTTCCGGTGTGAAGCTTCACGTGGGAAAGAAGAGAAGCACGAGCGCAGCAGCCTTGAAAATACCACAAAAAAAGGTTAAAAAATGACGCAATTAGACGGAATAGTGTAAGTAAACTATGTAAACCATGTTATGAGGGTAATGTTGGGGGGTGATGTGTTTGTACGTCTTTCGGGTAGCTTATATTAAAAGGAAAGCTCTGGCTAACCTGCTAAATTAGCATCTTTGACTTTGGACAAAGTTGCTTCATGGTTATGACGTTATATGATGGTTATGCTTATAAATAGCAGCGTCTGGGTTTGTTTGTATGGCAAACTTCTTCCACACTATTCTGAGGCTGTCTTAGGTATTTATGACATCCCAGAGCACATCCAGGTTATACGTCTATTGGCATGAAAACACCCTGCAGGGAACAACTGAAAGCTTTGTGGATGAGAAATCCCACTTTCTGACTCTGACCTGCTGACAAAGATGAACTATGGATGATGGATAAGGGATGTATAAGTTGCTGCTAATGCTCAGCAGGGTGGATGTCCCTTTAAAACTCCCAGACAGCATCATTCAAATGTCCTTTAGCGCATGTTAGACCAATGATCAGCTTCTGGGTGGATTTGGTTCGAAATAATGTGGGCAGATTACACTCAGAACAACACCCCTACTGAGACATTTATTATTAAACATAGAAACAATCTGAATACTTCTGTTGAATTAAAGGGGAAGTAGCTTTACCATAAAACTCAGAGAGGAATCCAATATTTGCTAAAACTTCCTAAATATACCATAAATCATCAGCATCAGTTTCTCTTTCTGAAAAAAATCTTTAAATTTTTTTTTTTTTTAAACGTTTTGTGTCCTCAGGAAACCAAAGACGAAACGCTCAAAGCGTTTCCTGGAGAGCCGAGCTCCCAAACTGGTTGAAGATGTGAAAAGCACCATGATCATGAAAGGAGGAAACACCAGTCAGACCGTCACTACAGCCCTCAAAGATATAGTGAGTAAAATAATATTTAAATGATCCCTTAATTTGATAGTTTTGATGAAGGTTCATTCAGTGTTTAAATTGCTTAGTAAACAGTCATTACCTCTGTGGTGAACACAGTGCAGGCTTCAGGTGAATAAATCACACATGGAGGGGATCTCCTAACTGACCTTTTTTCCTGTTTAGCGGCATTAAATTATAATTATAGTTATTTACAGTAACAAAATTAAAAACACCAACATGTTAGATGATCTGATAAAAATGTCTCTCTTTGTTTCCATAGTATTCCTTGAAGAAACCAAATGCTGTCCTTTACAAAAAGTAAGTGCTTCCCTCTAACTTTGAATTTATCCAGCAGCATAATGCTACGTTCACATGCAAAGTCTATGGTTGAAGCGCATTAGAACGTCCAGTAGTGCATCTTATAATAATAATAATAATATTAAACATTATTTATCTCACACTGGAGAAATTTACCTCTGCATTTAACCCATCCCCTTGGGGAGCAGTGTGGGGTTAGGGGTCTTAGCTCAGAGACCCAGAGTGGCAGTCTGTGGGAGTGGGTTTCAAACTCAGAACCTCAGAATTTCAAGCTCAGGGAGTCAAGTATCGCGATGAGCTGGAAATCCGGCCCCAGGCCACCATTCCCCACATCTTGGCGCAGCTGAAGCAGTGTGTTGTAGGTTTTGTATCACAGACTTGAGCGCACAGTTAACCAGTCTGAGCTTGCTGTGAGAACAATCTTCAGCGTTTAAATTATTGCATTCTCACTCAAAACTAAAGTAACATTCTTCCTATCTAAAATAAAAATTTCATATATCTTAAATGGCATGTTCTCCCTGTGCATGCGTGGGTTCTCTCTGGGTACTCTGGCTTCCTCCCACAGTCCAAAAACATGACTGTTAGGTTAATAGGCTTCTCTACAGTCCCCTTAGTTGTGACTGCGTGTGTGAATGGTTGTTTGTCTCTGTGTTGCCCTGCGATGGACTGGAGACCTGTCCTGGGTGTACCCCGCCTCTTACCCACTGACTGCTGGAGATGGGCACCAGCATCCCTCGTGAACCTACTCGGGATAAGCCTGCTAGAAAATGGATGGATGGATGGATATATCTTAAATGTAATTCTTATTAGCACAAATGATGCCACTTTTCCCATTCATGTGTATTGGGCTTTTACCTAAAGATATCTAAAATAACCCTTCTTCCTAACTATCTGAAAATTTCAGGTATTATGAGTTTGAAGAAATCCATTTGAGATATCTGGGTTCCATATTCAGTCTAGCTAATAAATGTAAAAACAGCCTGCCATAAGCGAGTGAGTAGAGACCTGAATGCATGCAGAGATGAAGCTGAGCGAGCGCATTAAAGCGCACTCAGAAACTCTCTGCACCAGACAGATTTTGAGCGAGAATGTGGGAGTTTAAACGCTGCTGCACATTGTTCTCACTGCACCCTTAGACTGGTAACTGCACACTCAAGTTGGTGGAACAGAAACTACGCTGTAAAACAGCTGCTCATGAGCTTTTGGGGTGAAGCGCTTCAGAAGCAGCAGCTGCTGGAGTTGGAAAAATTGAACTTTTGCTGCTGGATGCGCCACAACAACCAATCGGAGAAGCTGATCTGGGAGCTGGCAGCGAGAC